AAAGAGCTCTGCTGCAATTTAACTAATTAATTAATTAATTAATTAAAGCAGATTCTGACTCCTAAATATGTCAAAAGTCACACTGACTAATGTCACGAGCCAAAAAGATAAAATAAAAAGTAATTCTCAGAGAAATTAGTTCTGAGGAGAGTTCATTTGGACCAGAACCATCATGGATCTAAATGTTAAAATCAAGCAACCTAAACACCAGCATGAATTATACTTCTTTCTTATTTTACACTTATCTAGAGCAGCGGTTCCCAAAGTTGGGGTCCTGAAACATCAAGGTGGGGTCCTGAAAAGATTTTCTGAATTAACTGCACTAAAAAAATGACAACTCAGCACATTTTTGGCCTTTGTTGTAACAAAATAATAAAGTGCTTAAAATAAAAAAATAGCGTAATAAATAATGTTACTATGCTCTTGTTTATTTGACGTGAAAACAATGTTCATCAACTGACAACAGCTGGAGGCACAGGTCTCTGCTGCTGGTATTTTGTGGGTCAAAAGCTGAAAAGTTTGGGAACCACTGATCTAGAGTTTGGTAATCCTAACCAAAAAAAAATCCAAGTTAACTGTCCCACTGAGGAGGATCAGTAAATCAGCAGCTCCTGATCCTCTGAGATCGTCTAAAGCAGCAAATCTGGAACCATTTCTCTCTCAGCTTTAACTAATAAATTTAGATTCAGTCACACCAGCACTGAAAACTGCAACATCAACTGGAAACAGCTGCCAGAGGACTAAGATTAAAACTAACCAGAATGACGTCCAACATCTACAACCAGAGTCTCTCAGGTTGATCAAACACCTGACTCAGCATGGAGCTGGGTCTCCTCAGTTTTTTTTTAGCTCCAGATAAAACAACAAGGACTACAAACCAGTAAGTGATGTCTGTGTAATACCTGTGCCAGTAGAGTTGCTGTTAAAGAACCGAGCCGTGTCCTCCACCATCCTGGGCTCACTCCTGTCAGCAGGTGGCCACGACGTCCCAGGAGCCGCCGCCGCCACAAAGTCGGACGCTCCCTGAAAAACGGACCTGCTCCCTGCGCCCAACGACACGCCCGGCCTCTCCGCCTGCGGGGGCTCTGCTGAAGATGGCTTGGCGGGTGATGACTTGCTGCCAACCCGGGATGACACCGGTTTGGACTCCTCGTCGCTGTCGAACCCGAACGGGTCGTCCACGCCGTCCCCCGAGGCTCGGGGCCTCTTGCAAACCTCCGGGGCCGAGTCGTCCTTGGGGGCGCCGGCACGCTTGGAGCCCACCTTAGCCTTGTAGGTGGTGTCGCCCCATTTGGTGCTGAGTGTGCCTCTCTTGGTGGACAGAACCTCGTCGAACTTGGACATACCCTCTCCTCCCTTACGGCTGTAGGTTTTACCAAATCTTGACGTCATTGTTGCATCTGGTTCATGTTCTCTAAGAAACAATGAGGAAAAGCAAAAAAGTGTATTTACATAATAATTAAACTTCTATAACCAACCAGAAGTCAGCTGAGTTCTGTCAAACTCCAGCAACACAAGCAGTCCAGCAGAAAATTATCTTGAAATTTTTACTTTTAAACAAACCACGTCTGAGCTTCATTTGATCGTTTCAGACTCGTATTTTTCTTCTACACCTCAGCTAGTGGGATAAAACTAACATTTTGCTTTAGAGTGTTAACAGTGTTAAATTAATTGTTTTTCTCATTGGTAAGTGTGTAAAAAAGATTTTATCTCCATTACATAAAACGTGACTGGTACTAGTACTGATAAACGTACTGTTATTAGCCGTTAGCTCCATTTTAGCGGTTAGCTTTAGCAGCACGTATCAGTGGAAATAAACCCCAACATAAAAGCTAAAACTTCTAACAACCACAAACCAGCCACACACAGACAAGTTAATGATGATAAACCAARATTAAATAATTGGGGATTAAGTTATCAAGATTGTTAGCGCGAATTAGCAACGTTAGCTTCAGGAAGAGTGAGCAGAGGGAACTGTTAGCATCAAGCTAACAGCTAACAATAACCAAAAACCCAACAGTCAGAGATAGGAACCGCAAACAGACCGGTTTAAGATGTTAAAATAACATTAAACAACATCAATATTTCCACCCACTTGGTGAGCCAAAGAGCCGATCCGCGCAGACCACACTGCCAATCCCCAAACGGCGGACAGACTGGCACAGGACCGCCGGGGGCCTGCTTCCCTGATCCGGCCCGGGCTGTGGAGTATAAACAAGGCCGGACAGACGCCGTTAAMGGCGGATCAGAGCGGGTTAAAGGGCACAGGAAGGGCGGCAGGTACCGGCTGCCGAGAAAATATGGACTTTAAATACACATTCGATTAAATAAATTCCGTTTTTCAGACTAAATCGCAGTCGATTGTCTCCTCCGGTTCGTGTCGAAGGCGTCCATTGGATTCCGCCGCTGCATCAAGTTTACCCTGAAAGACGTGACGTAACCGGAAACTAGCTATAAACCCTACAAAATAAATTCACACATCGCTCATAACAAAACTGTTTTGGGTTCATTGACTTAATCACATGTGAAAGTGCTTTTAAAAACATGCATGCAAAACATTATGACAATAAATACAGTACACAATGTAATTTTAAGAGTATATTCTTGCCCAGTTTATGTTGTGATAAATGTTTTTGATTTTATTCTTTGAGATGAACCGGAACCTCTTACGTGTAAAAGCTTCATTTTTTCACGCGATGCGTTCAAATGCCACAAATAAACTCGGAATATATATATATA